GGGAAAGAGGAGGCCATGGGAGGAGCAGAAAGAGGAAGGGGGAGAGAGAAAGTTGTCCTATCCCCAACCCCTTTGTTTTTCCCTCAGATTCAGGCCATAAGGTGCCCTTAAGATCATCTAGTCCAGGGGTGGGTAGCCTCTGAATATGGCATGCAACAGAGTGGGAGGGAGCAGGGAATGCAAGGAAGAGAGGGCAGAGCAACAGGGGAAGGGGATCACAGTGGCACTTCGGGGAGTACAGGGCTTATCTTGGGATATGCCTGTCAAAAATGTTGGCCCCTAAAGTACAGCCTGTGTTACACAAGTAGTCAGAATTTAAGCCACATGTAGCAAGCTCTGTATTCAATATGTCAATGAAATGCATCTTTTGGAATGATAGTCCATCTTAGTTGGGAGGTGGTTACGAGTACTTTGATCAGTACATAGTGCTGGAGCAGAGCAAGAACACTAGAGAGGATGGGGGAGGGGGCTGGGGCTGCTGGAGCACAGAAGCACAAGACAGTTTTTTTTATGCCAGGAGCAGCTAGTATGTACGATGCAACGTAACTGGAATGCAGCCTTCAGCCCCAACCGTAGCAAAACCAAATTGTTCCCTGGTTGTATGTTGTGTCTACAGGCAGTAGGAGAGAATCCAGCTGCAGGGGCCTGATGGTATGGGAAGTTTGCATTTGCTGGGAAACCCAGTCTGACGGGAGCAGAGATGAAGTGAAAGCTGGGTTTTAACAATGCCACTTTGTTTGGCATAATCCTATTTAGCTGCTTCTCAGGCTGCTGAGCTGAGGAGATGAGGAAGTTTGCTTTGTTGCAACTGCCCTTTGCTACCCTTACTCTACACCCAGCCTGAAATCGCATGTGCTGAGGACTTCCACAGCTGTATCCCACAAGTAATACCTTGGGGGACAATTCAGAGACCCAACATAGATTTCAAGCATTCTACTGTAGTATAGATGACCTCATTGCCCATTTTGAGTCATGGGAACATAGACCTCTAAGGACCTCCTGGGTCAGAGCCTAGTCCCTCTACTCCTTTTCATAAGGGTCCATTCAAGGTTATTCTTCAATGTAGCTAGTTATTTGTTTGCCCTCAGTGGTCCTACTAGGCAGCTGTTCCAAAACTTCAGTGCACTGATTAAAAACCTTCTAGCTTTCACCCTTAATTTATTCACTGTCAGTTTATAGCCATTTATTCTAGCACCGACATTGTCCTTTAGCTGAAACAGCTCTTCTCCCTCCCTACTGTTCATCACACTGATGCATTTAGAAATGACAATCCTACAACCTTATCACCATCATTTTGCTAGTTAAATGAAACAACGTCTTCTAGTGTCATCTAGCATTCAATATTGTTGAGAGAGACAGGAGCAGTGCCAAATGACATCACCACAATTGTTTAACACTTGCGGAACCATGAAAAACTTAACAAAAAGTAGAATTACAAACTCACCTCTTTGATCACATCTTGTCTGTCCTTCCCAGCCAGCCTTGAACAGCTTTGTGAAGAGTAATTTTCAATATTCCAAGAGATGCAGCTGCAGTTTATTTCCTTGAGAAGTTGCTTCTCAGCTAAAACTAATGGATTGAGGTTTAAACCTATTATTGCCAATGTAAACAGCTCCCTGACAGTCTGAGACCTGACTTATTTCTTCTTTAACTATCAGGACGCTTGGTGGATGCCCTGAAGAACTATGAGGTCATCTTCTACCTGGCTGGCTCGGAGGTTGTACTCTCCTCCCTCTTCCTGGGCGTCGTGAGCTACTGCTGCCTGAATCGGGGGAAAAAGACACCTCCACCAGCAAAGACCTCTTCCACAGGTGCTGGCAGTGACACAGAAGAGGCAGAGTCAGATGCACAGGAAGTAGAAGACCATGCAGATGACAACCACCAACAATCCCACAGCACCAACAGTGCCCTCATTGTGGGGAGTGATGCTGTGAACCATTTAAGGGAGGATCAGAGCATGGATGCAGTTGGGCGGCCTGAGGGTGATGGGGAGGCATTGATGTCAGTCAGATGCAGCTCCAACCAAACAGTAGAGAGAGAGAGTTTTTAGGAATTTAAAAGCCAGGATGGAGGAATATAGACAGACAGTGCTAAAGCACTGGATTGGTCTGGTTTGCAGACAACTATGTAAGTGGGAAGAATATGGGGAAAAGGATTGGGGCGAGGAGGAAAATGTGTGCGAGAAGGACAGGAGAGAATCTAAGAGTTAACAATTTTTAATGTATATGCGTAGAGACATGTTATATCTAGTGATGTGTTTAACAGCATGCTGCACATCCACCGATCTTTCACACAAGCTCAGAGGAGCTCTCTTGCTATCTAAACTGACCCTGGAAAACTTAAAGTTAACTAAGGCAATCAGTGGGCTTTAATTTTCCCATCTACGATGTCCCAATAAACCAAAATTACTCTTTACAATATGATCTCCAGCTGTTTGCTCTGTCTTCAGTGTCTCTCATATCTGCCTCAGGACAAAACAGACCAAGGTCCACACGCTGTAGAAGGGCAGAGGAAACTAATGCACAATATTCTTAAGATGAACTTGCCTCTCCCCCAGACTGAGGCTACGTAGGCCATGTTTGCAGGAACCAATGGCATAGGAAGGATGTGATGGTTCTCTTGCAAGGAGGCAGTGGGGGATTGGGTCTGGAACAGTAATTCAGTACAGAGTGCAAGGGAAGGAAAAGTTTATATAACCAAATGCCACTAGCCAGCCTCTATGATGTAAGACCTCAAGTGAAAGAATATTAGCAAGCCCTCTCCCTAAAGGCTGCACCTGCTAGATTTAAACTGGGTGTGGGAGAGGGTAGCTGGCAAGTGATGGGAATAGCTGGCAGTGTGGGGTGGTCTTTCTTCAGGGCCCAGGTATAGACAAGCCATGTTCCAAGGGATTATCCAACTCCAGAGTAATAGTACACAAGGGCTTGGTGTTTATTTAAAAAGAAAACCCCTTATACAAAGGACTCAATGTTACAGCAGAAAAACATGCAGCAGCCAGAGGGTACACTGAATTACGGTGTTTGAGCAAGTAGTAAATCAGGCTTGGGGCCCCCAGGCTGAAGGGATGGATTTCTGGATTCTAAGAGACCAATCTTCCCTGGCGTGCTTAAACAACACTTAATCCGCTTTCAGACTGGGTCTCTCATAACCCCTGTAGTCAAAGCCTTTTTTCCAGTTTCATGAACTGTGTCACCTTGCATGCCCTATGACAGCACCTTGCAGGACCTATTGCTACATCAAGGGATCAAAAACTGAATAGAGGAGTGGAAGGCAGCAGGCTCAGGGCATGACTCGGTGGAGGCAATCTGAAGAGGAATTGGGTCATGGGAAAGGGGAAAGAAAACAAGTCTTGCTCCAGCTGTTTCTCATCAAGGCACCTACTCACAGGTGCTATTGATCTGTTGCAACAAAGACAGTTTTAGAAAAAGAGATGGGAATAGAATGGGTCAAATAAACTAGCAAAGCTGTGCTTCCTCCCTCTGTGGCTGAACTGCAGCAGGTGGTACTGCTACCTCCTTGTTGTGTGACAAATGGTCTCAGACTGCTGGCCCTGAATTCATGATAATTTACTTCATGCACTCAAATGCGTCTGAGCCAAGTGTCAAGCTTTCAAACCCTTGTAGAACTGGTATAGAAGATGTCAGAGACTTTCCATTACCTAGTATACTTCCTTGCCCATCAAGGATCCTCTCTGAACATTCTCTGGAGTACTGTCTGGTTCATCTGCTTTTAAATGACTTGAGAGCAAGAGCTGTCAGCATATCTGTGGCAAGACTATTCCAAGACTAACCAGAGCAAACCTATTCTCAATACTCAGCCGACAGGACACTTCACTTAAGTTTCAGCCCATAGATTCTAACCATACAGCCAGCCCTCTTTTAATGCCAACTTAACATGCTTCTCTGCAAAGGAGCTTGGGTAAAGAAAAAGGAAAAAGTTATAATTTGGAAACAGCCCAGGGGCTGCTGTTGTTTACTGAGTATCTTACCTAGCTTCACAGGCAGACAAGGTTCTTTGGGTAGATGTACTATCTTTTATTAGACCAACTAAATAGTTGGAAAAATTGTTCTTTGCAAGCTTTTGGGCACAAGCACCCTTCTTCCTAGCCTCAGAATTCAAGCATCACAAAAGTAGTACATTGCCTCCTCTACCTTTGCTTGTTAAGCTGCACTGAGCATATAACTCAGGACCTGTGCCCCTATGCTCACTCATTTGGAGTTCTCTCCTTTACACATTTGGTCCAGTTCTTTGATTACATTAATTGCTCATTTTACTTCCCACTGAATAAGTAATGGCTTAGCTCATAAGCAGGAACTAATCTGAATAACTTTTTAAATGAGACTTGGTGCCACAATATTCCCAATATGCTATTCCCAAGGCAGTCTTCCCAATGTCTTCTGCCAGTCAAGTTTCCAGAAATGGGCAGAATATGACTGCAGCAAGTGGGTTTGTGGCACTCAGTCTTTCCAGTTGCAATTGTCTTGCACATTCCTATAAGCTACTTTGCATGTCTGGCACAGCTGGCAACTTTTCAGTGGCAGGGCTTCAATATCAGCATAGGCTTCTGCTGTGGCAGCTAATGTGGCATACGTGAGAAGGTACCATAGGATGAGACACATATGGAGCACTGTGTTTTATGAGATGGATGATGGCCCTCTAAGTCAAGTCACAGCAGGGCATGGAATAGCAGTATACACAGAAATGCCCTATGTACATCATACTTCTTATTTGCAAAGCAGGCTCATACTGCAGCCACCACCATTATGTCAGCTCTGTTTAAGGAGCTAACAATTTGTATGCGACAAAAGCTACTTGGACAATTCAGACACTTTATCTCTCACCTTAGGACTATAGTAAAGGGATGAGAAGTGACAGAACCACTAAAATGATTTAAAAAAGAAAAAGAAATAAACATAGTGTTTTATTACAGATATCAGTAAACACATTACAACCCATTCAAGTCTTCCAGAGCAGCCTGGCCCTAAACAGCCTTCTCCCAGGCACTGATGGAGAAGATAAGAGATTCCATAAACAAAATAAGAAGAAATATATACAACATAAATTAATGCTCTTGCATAGCTTCTCTCACTGCCATCATTATGGGTTGGGAAGAAGCTAAACCCATCACCCTCAAAGACCCTGCCACAGGTATTATTGCCAGCTGCCAATACCAAAGGCCCTCTCATGGAATTGAGATTCCCCAAGAGGAGAGAGAAAAGTGGTGGGGTCCAATAGGATCCACGCTCACCTTAAGTTTTTTCTTTTTGCCTTTTGTTCAAGGCAGGGTGAGAGGGACATTAGCCATGGGGTCTGGCTAAGCTCTCTGATCTGAAAGCAATGCTGTAAGGGTAACAGAATGGTTGTGTAAGGAAGGACAAGGAGAGTCGACAGGTGGCAGTAAGCTCTATGCTTAGTATGGCTGCTTACTCTCTTGTGTTTAAACATCTCTGCTTTGTCCTCTCCACGCAGTTTTGAGGCTCTTGCCCCCTCTACTATACGGCTACAGTATGTCTTCCCTAGTTTTAAATTGGATATATAGTCCTTCACACAGGCTCAAGGGGAAGGGTGCACGTAGAAGGTACTGTGTCTGGAAGGAGCACATCTGGTTAAAGCCAACCATGAGCAAATACAAGAGAAGAATGACTGAGAGGGAATGCCCCAACCAGAATCCCCTGACTCCACATCAAAGTCTATGAGCCTTTCTGCACTGGTCTCTACAAGCTAGCCCTTTGCCTCTCTGCTGGTGAAAAGGATTCTCTTCTGGAACAACAAGGGTCCTCTCTTTCCTTGGGAAGGGTGATGCTGCATACAGGAATAACTCCAATTTCCTGAAAAAAGATGGCACAATCCTTTGGAGAAAGCAGCACACGATGGTTGTCTGTTTCTTCTGGGACAGAAGAAGCAAGGTAAACTAGTCAGTAGAATTACTGGGAAAGGTGGGCAATATTCTACTCTCCCCCTCAGGGGGCAGTAAATTAGTAAATAAATAAGGCTAAAAAGTTGGGAGTGTTGGCAGAGGAAACCTCTCTGCCCCTACTGGTCAATAATGAGGTGAGTGATCTGGTTGACTACCCTTTATACAAGTAGAGAGAAAAGACCAGGGGGCATTTTCCAACTATCCATAGCCATCCCTCTCCCAGTGCTGTTTTGTTAGCTTACATAGGCAAGCAGTAGCAGAGGGACAGCAGCATATCCTGCACACTCTGTAGTAGCCCCTCTGCTAATGGAATGGTGCACTAGGAAGTGGGATTTTTTGAGGGTTTCTAGACTATAAACCCTCTCCCCTCCACATCTGACTTGACAATGGAATTAGAGGGGAGGGGAGGTGGAACACAGCAAAGAGGGAGAGAAGAAGTCAGACAGAGGCTGGACCACATCAACCCATCTGCTCACCCCTGAAGCACAGTCATCCCAGGCAGGGCTTTATATATAAAATCACAGAGGATGAACTGCCATTAAAATAGATTTTATCAGTCTCTGTCATGTCTGTTCCAGCTGCCACATCAGCTTATTCAGGCATCATCGATGAGCTTCTCACCATTTGCTTCCTCCTTCCTACTGCCCTCCCTGTCTCCACCATCCTCCTCCTCCTCTTCTGCCCCATCTGTGAAGACATCCTTCTGACCATAGCTCAGGGTGGTGCGTGCTAGATCCACCTCGATGGGAAAAACATCAGCATCCCGGAGCACAGCATAGCAGTCATCGTAATACTTGGACATGGTAGAGACAAAGCGCTGGAGCTGGAACACAATGTCCTGCACTGTAGAGCGGATGGGGAGGTGAATCAGTGCAGGATATAGCAGATTGTGTGGGAAGGAGAAATAGTCTCATCTGTTCAGTGACTTGCCATTGTGTCCACCCCCACCCTCTTTCACATCCAAACCCACATACAAAGGCTGTAACCAAGTCTTCCTCTCTCTGACTAGCCAAAGATTTTTGTGTTGCAGTCACATTCATGCTCTAAACCCTGTAACAAAAGGGCTCATGGAGGAACACAGAACCAGACAGGACAAGGTCACTGAGATGCAGGCAACAAGTTTGCTCAGCTAAGATGAGGAAAGAACCCAAGAACAAAGAATGAGTCCTACACCAACCCCCATAAGCTGCGGGCAAAGGCAGTGACACTCACCATGTTTCTGGTCCAGCAGCTCAATTTTCTCCAGCACATCCTTCCTCATCTTGGCAAAACGTGCGCGTGCCTCCTGGCGACAGCGTAGGATAAGGCGGTATTCATAGTTTCCAGTGCTGACCCTGTAGAGGGGCTCACCCAGTGCCTGCCAAGACCACCACACTATCTTAGAGACTCCCAAAGAGCAGCACACGAAAGGGTCTGCTTCTACAGAGCTTCTATACTGATGGAAGCTCATGGACCTTGAGTCACCAAACCAATCAGACAGCAGCCCTTTTGGGTGCAGTGAAACCATTCATGAGTTGCTGAACATTATGGACTCCTAGACAATTAATGACTTAAGAGCCTAGAGCTCTGAGCACCCTATCTTAGGACAGCCAACAGTTAAAATGGCTGCAAAGGCTTCTACATGACAAAAGTTATGAAGCAGTAACAACAGGAAGTAAGAAGAGTTGGCTGTGCTGAACTGGATTTGGTAGTGGACCCATTAATGTAGAAACCAGCAGGACTAATCCTCGAGGCTTAGCTTCTGTATGTGCATGCAGGTTCCATATGGGCCACATCTGAGGGACTGAGAAAATGCAGGTTGGATGCATGAACTTGCATCAGTAAGAGTGTGACTCCTGCCTTCCCAACACATGGAATTATTAACACACATGGAATTGTCCCATAGCATTTTTGAGAGGAAAGGATTAGAGTATGTCAAGCAAAGTGCATAGTGCCCTCTAATGACACTCAGGCTTTCTTGTGCTGATGGTTTTGAAATATGCTTCTTTTTAATGTGTGCCAAAACCCAGCAAAAACATTCTGCTGAGAGATTCTCTCTTCTTCTATAGCAAGATGTTATATTGTCATTGGGTGCTCAGTTACTCAACTTTTACTAGTTACCGGAGAGGCAGCACTGTCTAGTCATCTGAGAACAGCACTCAGAGCCAAGACTTGTTTTAACCCCAGCTCCAGACTCTAACACTGACCTGGGACAAGCCACATCTTTTGTTTACAGATGGGGAAACTTGAGATGTTTACTTTTATAAAGGTGATGGTAAGGATTAGGTAAGGACTCTGAAAATTCAAAAAGCTGTATTTAACACCAAGAGTAATTTTCTATGCAGTGTGAGGATTTAGGAAGTCTTCTGGTTTAAATATATGTTTCTAAAAGTTGGTTTTTTAAGGAAAACTCATTTCAGAAGAATTTCTCTTCAGCTACATGGGCACTCTTACCCCACAGTAAATAAAACCTAGTCTGATGCAGCTTGGTCCTCAGTAAAAGAGGGGTAAAATTACCAAGAGTTACCTTTTCTGTACCACAGGGGAGAAGCATGCACATGGACAATTACTGAACAGCAATCAACATGTTGAAAAGGCCAACTCCTCCTCTGCCTTATAAAAACTTGTTTGTATGCTTCTGTCCTGACTACACATACAGGAAAGAAGGTTGGTTCCAAAGGGGTGCAATGGCACTAGTGTTCCACAAAAGTTACTGCTTCCAGTTTGTTTTTTTTTAAATCGCACTTGAAGACCTTCAGGTTTGAACACTTGTTTATTAAAAGTGCTCATCACAAGGTAGAGATATCCATGGATGCAGGTGAACACAAGTTTGCCTACACTTGTCTGCAACCACAAAAGTGCTACAGAAACACAACCTGCTGTAGTTTTGGTACTCACAATGCAGCTGTACTCCTCATCATCCATTTCTTTCACTTTCAGGCAGTAAGACTATAAAGGATTAAACACACAAAATACAAAGGGTTAAAATAAGTTCCCACCACCACCCAGAGCAGACTGCCACCCAGTTATCAGCCAGTCAGAAGTGCAGAGGTTCTCCCAGTTTGTGTGTCTTCATGCTATAATTCTATGAAGCAATTTCTCCAGAGCTGTCAAAAGCAAGAACTCACCAAGTACTCAAACTTGACATCCAGGTATTTTTTGATCGTCAGCCTTGTGTCAGGAATGGCTTTATTCAGGTATGTGTTCAAGTCACTCAGCATCTAGGGGAAAACAATGATTCATAAATAATAAGACCTAAAACAACTATCTGTGATGATCACAGATCTCTGATCTCCTGTACAACATGGCCATAAGACTTCTCCAAATTAATTACTGTTTGAACTCTTGGGGGAAAAAAAATCCCATCTTGATTTAAAAATTGCCCGTGATGGAATATCAACCGCAACTCCTGGTCCACTGTTCCAAAAGTTAAAAATGCATGCCTAATTTCATGACTAATTTTGCATAACTTCAGTTTACAGCCTGTCGCAGGGCACTAAGATGCCTGCTCCTTTAAGAGCAGAAACTGCCTAGGGAGAGGACCCTAAGAGCTAGACAGCAACCCCACAGGCAGGTTACTATGGCAGCAGGCTAACAAGGGAATTAGCCTGCACCTGCACCCAGTCAGCTAACCGGAAGAAGGCGGGGCCCTGGGCACATATAAACCCCAGGGCTGAGCCCAGAAGGAGTTAGTCCTCTGGCAGTAGCCAAGGGAAGGGGCCTCCAGGGAAGAATTGCCCAGAGATGCTGTGGCTGCCTGATATGCTGCATATAGGGCTAATGGGGCTCCAGCAGCTCACCAGGTACCCTGGCCTACAAGGCACTTAGTGCTGGGGGGAAGCTTGACTCTTTTAAAGGGACAGAGCGCACCCTGAACTGCTTGTATTATGTTATAGCCCAAGGGCCCATATTTTGGTTGCTGTTTATAAACCGGTGGATCAGGCTGAGGCTATTGGGGAAGGAGGAGGCCTCATTGGGGGCCCACTACAGTGTGGGGACCCCAGCACCAGGGGGTGCAGTGACAAAGGGGGTGAGCAGAGCCCAGCACCAGTGTGGGGCACAGAGACAGGGCTGCAGAGAGCCCGGGTGATGACAGGAGGCTGAGCTATATCAAGGCCCCCAGAGAAGCAATGTTTAAATACCATCTGTGAGGCTTGGGGCATGGTAAACAGGTGGTTTTGGAGCCATGCATCTAGCCCATACGGCTGAGGGTGTCCCATGAGGCATCCATTTTGAGCAGGACCCAAAAAGGGGTCCAAGAACCCACAGGGTTCAATGGGGTCCATCAGGACCGAATCCAAACACAAACTTGAGGGCAGCCTCCCTATATTATAAATTACCAGCAAGACGTGGCAGGCGAGGAAAAGGGTGCCCATTAGGCAAGACTGGCACGGTCACGGAGCCCTAGGGGCATCACGGCTATCCCTGGAGACCCATCCCGCAACACAGCCACTCAATTTTGTTATACCTTTGTCTGCTGGGCTGAAGAACTCAATATCAGTGCACTGAACCCTTGGTAGATACTTAAAGTATGATGAACTAATTCCTTAACATTTTCTTTGCTCAGCCAAAAAGCTAGAGCTCTCCTGCTAATGTATGTTTCCTAATCTTTCACTCACTCTTGCCTGAACTGTTTTCAATTATATGCATCAACATACCATCTTTACTTGACTCCAAAATGCATCTCTTCCCCACGTAGCATGGGGGCAAAAAAAAGGCCTCATCTTAAATTCAGTTACAGCCCTAGGGTAGGTAATGGCCTAGCTCTGACTTTGGCCCCCAATTCTGGGCTAAAACTGAAACTGAGCTGCTGCCTGCCCCAGGCCAAAATGGCTCATCTGGCAGGGAAGGGAGCTCACAGCTGGAAGTGACCACACAGTGTTGAGGGCAGGGGGAGGAAAGACCCAGCAGAAGATATTATTTATAATTTTCCATGTATCTAGTTATGCAATTGTGGACAGGGCATCTTTAATTCAAAGTCTTCTTGGATTTGGGTAAATACAGTACATTTGAAACTGTGGACACCAAAACTGACTGCAGTAGTGGTTGTACCTGTGCCTATTCCAGAGATAATATAAACCTCTCTATACAAGTTAATGAAAGTAATTGGTATAGTAGTTGGGCTAAGGAGGAAGAAGAGATGCATTAAAACAGAACTAAAAGAGACTGACAGCATGTATACCATGAACTAGGCATTCTCAGCTTCCTTCATGGTAGGACAGGTGTCCATATCACTAAAACCACTGGTCTGATTGTACAAGTAGTACTTTTTTTTTTGACAGCCTCAGCCAAGGGCAATGACTGGACCCTGAAGATTTACCTACTCAACTAGTGTTGGCCATCAAAGAGAAGAATAGGCACACTCGGTTGTGTATGCGTGTGTGACAGTTGAGTTCAGGGGCATTAAGAAGGGGTAATATGCACTGCCACAGTCAGACAACAGGGAAGGTTTCATACTAACTAAGAAAATTGTCTTACATAAAGTATTGTAGCTTGACCAGGGGTGCTCAACCTCCAAACCATGGATGCATGGGGAGCCCCAGGCCCTGTACACTCAGTCAGGTGCTTGATCCCAGACCATAGGGTCAGGGGGGGTCAGGCCCCAGGGCCCAATCCTGATGTGGGGGGCCAGGAGGGGAGCAGTGCCAGGCCTCTAATGCATGACAACTGGGAGGGGGCAAGCAGCAGGGGCTGGGGCCAGGCCCCTGGAGTCCAGTCATGACACCCAAGCCTTGGACCAGCCCCACACCAATCATCTAGCCTGCACTGCCAAAAGCTTAAGCACCACTGAGTTAGACAATTCCTTTAAGGAACACTTCTGAAGTGTCATATTTAATTGCCTGTACTGTACCACAGTTTTTAAAACCAACCCCCCAGATCCAGATCCTGCATTTCTAGCATCTTCTCCCATCCTTCCCTCCGTTTTCAGTGCTGAAGCCCATCCCCAGCCTACAGTTTGGGTCTTTACCGGTTTGATGGTTTTCAGAAGGCGGATTCCAAACTTCTCAATGCTGCGATGGGCATCTGCAAACTTCACAAAGGCTTCACTGGCAGCTGGCTGCGGCTCCCGTACGCCAATGACTGAGAAAACGTCTCCAAATGCTGAGTAAAGAAAATAATTAATGCAGATGGAGAAGGGGCCTGCCATCAAGAACATTGGCGATGCGTAGGGATGCATGTGCACCCCCTGAGCGTGGCAGTGCACCCCCTATGAAAAAGGTGCCGCCAACACTGTTGGCGGCACCTGTGGGTGGTCACTGCTTGCCGCCCACCCTGCCAGCAGCATCTGTGGATGATCAGCAATGGCTGCTGGCCTTTGGCAGCATCTGCGGGTCGTCGCCAACCCCTGGTTGGCGCTTGCCACCCGTCAACCGCCAACAGCACAGGCGACGTCTGCAGGAGCTCCCTCACCTACTGCCACCCCACTCCTGCCACCACTGCCGTGCCCCCCAGCTACCAAGGGCATGCATCGTTCATGATCAAAAGCAACCTCTGCCCAAAATAAGATGCATGTGGCCGGGAGCAGGGTAACAATCTTGTTACCACAGGGTGCCACATGATCCTTAGGGCATTTTTACACATGCAAGTGCTGGGTGCTTTCAAAAGTGCCAGGTGCTGCTTGCAGTTGTATAAGTGGCGAAATGTGCATCAGTGCTGAGAAAATGGTGGCGGTGTGGTTTTGAACTAAAACGCATTGAAGATGCTTTAGTTCAAGAACACACTGCTGCCATTTTTTGTGCACTGATGTGCATTTCACCTCAGCTCACGGGCGCAGCAGACTCAATTAAGCAAGTCAGCTCCAAAGTGGTGGATCTCCAGTACACTGCGGGACAGAAAAGTATGTGTACAAATACTGTTTAAGACCGGGGTTTTCAGAGCCACACTCATCTCTCTCGTAAGGTGATGCCTAGAAGCACAGTGCCTTCTAACACCAGGACAGAAAACGGGCTCAATACCAGTTCAGAAGGAAATGTTCCATTTCCTCATTTATGTCTTTAGAATCTATTTTTCTTTGTGTGGTGCTCATACATTCAAATGAGGACTAAGTCTAATGTTTCCAAGGTTTAACACGATAATAATTTTTGAGATGATAATAGTCTTCCATTCCCCACCTCTGATGAAGATCCAGCCTGTAACAAGGCTCTTTCAGTCTGCTTACCTCTATGTGTCTGGGATAGTTCAAAGAAAGCTCGAAGAAGACCCTTGGTGTGCTCTGTCAAGCCTGTAGTCAGAGGAAAAAAGAACACAAATAATGCAACTGTGATACAGTATCTTATCCTTTCTACCCACCTCAATCCAGATGCTTAACAGAAGAGGGCAGTTTACCTTTGTACAGCTCTGCAGTCCTTTCCAACTCCTCCAACCTCTTCACCAACCCATCTAGAGGGAAAAAGTGTCAGAGAGTATGGGGTTAGGATGCCCAAATTTGGAAGACATAAGGATCTGCTTGGCTAAAAGGAACAGGCCAGTCACTGCCTAGGTAGCTGATTTTCACACATTTCAGGTATCCTCTGGCCCCAGCCTAAAATTAAAGAGCCCCAATGACACTATTTCATGAGCTCCCTAAGTAGATGTGGCAGACAGTGATGCAGCAGGTATGCCAGGGGATGGGAGCAAATCTATTTACAGCAGTCACCAACTGCAAGAGAGTGTCCTATGGGAAAACCTAATTTAGATTAGTTCCCCTAAGCACCTATCAGAAGTCAAAAGTGGGGAAGAGGATATTTCTAGAAAAGGGCTGTGCAACTGGCAGCTCATAATGAGTTAAACTGCCCATCACACCCCTCATTGCAGCAGCAGGTAGGAAGTTGCAGCAGCAGGTAGGAAGCTCCAGCCTCTGGGCTCCCCCTCCTTCCAGTTTGCCTTTCCTGCCCAGTGAACCCTGTAGCCCAGGGTACCTGGGTGGCACAGTGCAGCTGGGGTGTTCACAGCCACAAAGCTACCAGTGAGTTGGTGTGTCCTAGTGCACAATATGTGGGGACAGGAAAACATCAATATTGTGGGGAGAGGAGGGTACATGCAGCCCCCAGAGCTCATGGCCTCTGCTGCTGCAGCCCCTGCTAGTAGAGGTGCATTAATAGAGATTTTTTGGACTGATACCGATAGCTGATTTTTTAAGGAGCCATATCGGCTGATACAGATCCAATTTCCGATATGCAGCCCAGCAGCTTGAAGTTTGTTGCAGTGGAAGGGGAGGAGGAAGGAAAAGGGTATGGGTGGGGGGGGTAGATCAAGGTCGCTGTGGTGAGGGAGTGAGGAAGGGGCTGGGGCAGGTGCCGCATAGCTGGGGCAGGGCGCGGGATGGAGCCACAGGGGGGCAGCTCCCGCTGCTGTGCACACCCCAGGAGGGCATGGGGGTGGGGCATGTGCCCCTGGATCTGCACAGGGTGGGGTGGGCTGCCCTGCCGCTGTGGGTTGGGGCCTGAGCTGTGCTGGGCTCTTCCCGGCAGGGGCTGGGCCAGGCTCTGCTCAGGGTGGGCGGCAGCAGCACTGGGAGGGAGGTTTGGGGGGGGCTGCAGCCAGCACAAAATTCACTGTAGCCCCTCCCAAACCCTTCTCCCAGCACCACTGCCTGGCCTGAGTGCAGCCCAGCCAGAACCCCACCAGCAAGAGCTTGACACAGCCCCAGCCTGCAGTGGCAAACCCACCCCACGCAGATCTGGGAGCACATGCCCCCCCATGCCCTCCCAGGATGCGTGCAGCGGCAGCAGCTGCCGTCCTTCCCTGCACCTGCCGGATGAGTCATGGCTCCATCCTGCACCCCACCCCACCCCAGCTGGGCAGCGCCTGCCCCTGCCCCACTCCCTCCCTCACCACAGGGGCCTTGATCTGCACCCCACCCCCATTCCCATTCTCTCCCCCATCCGCTTCTACCACAACAGACTTACCAGCTGGACACTGCTCTTCAAGCTGCTGGGCTGTGTATTGGAAATTGGATCTGTATTAGCCGATATGCTGCGGCTGCACAGATGCATAGGGCATTTATCTGCCACATTAGTGACCACATCAAGCAAAAAAAGCCGATTTCTGATAAAGTAAATTTTCTTTATATTGGTGCCAATCCGATATTGGACTGATGTATCGGTGTACCTCTACCTGCTAGCGGGGCCCGAGCAGCCTCCAGCCACTTAGAAGCAAACCTGTCCTGGGCTGTTAATGCACAATTCAAGCAAGAAAGACTAATGAATGTTCCCTGCCTCACAAAATGCCCAGACACAGCTATGTACTATCAGTACACTGAGAATAAATGAGGTTGTACACAAATAAATATGTCAGACATCAGTACAGCACCCTTCCATCAGAGATCCAACAGTGCCAGAGAGGTTAATTTATTTGGCTCTCGTGAGCTCCTAGACCAAGGGTTGTCAACTGGTGGTACATGTACCCCCACAGGTACTTAGAAAAGTTGTAGGGGGTACACACAGGCAGGTGAGGATGGAGTGGGCAGGCAAGTGGAAAAGGGATGCACTGGGTGCCGGCGGCTCCACACAGCACACCACAGTGCCTCCCCTCCCCTGCGCCCCAGCTCACTCTCCCAATTGCCCGCCCCCACCCCGCCTCCACAGGTCTGAATGGAGTGGGGGAGGTGGGAAGGAGTGTGTTCTGTGCCCACCCTCCAGTGGCACACGATTGGCTGGGCACAGGGCCAGTCAGCAGCCCGCGGAGCCAAGGCCAGCCATGGCAAAGTGGTGTGGTATGCAGCAGTGGTGCTGCATGCGAGCTCCCCCCATTCGGCTGTCCCTCCCAGCACCGCCGCTATGCACAGCCCAAGGAGGGCATGGGGGGCACGTGCCCCTGGATCAGCACGCAGGGCTGGGCAGGGAGGGCTGTGGGCCACTGCAGGCTGGGGCCAGGGCAGTGCCAGGCTCTTCCCAGCAGGGGTGTTGGGCCTGGCTGCACTGGGAAGGAGTTGGGGGGGGCTACAGCAAATTTTGGGGGGGCTCCAGCCCCTCCCGTAGCCCCTTCCCAGTGCCACGGCTGCCCTCCCCGAGTGTAGCCTGGCCCAGCCTTGTGACTGGGCTTGCAGATCAAGACCCCCCCACAGTGCAGGAAGGAGTGGGGCAGGGGGGAATCATTCACCTCCTGCCCCTGCCCCACTCCTTCCTGCACTGCCATGACCTGGCCTAGCCAGGGCCCCATTCACCAAGAATGGGCCCTGGCTGGTCCAGGTCATGGGACAATCAGAGCCTGGCAGCTCGTCCAGGGGCGCAGGAGGGCAGCTCCTGCCGCTGCGTGCACAGC